AACGGAGAGTCTCCAGACTGATTAGCGAGTGAAACCTTGAAAGCTCGAAAGATCAGGATGGTCTCACGAGGCTAATGCAGCTTATCGTTCAAAGAAGAATAAAATAGAATAGAAAATCCCTTTATTCTCCTACAGTGGGGGAAAATGTGGTTTTTAGAGCAGCAAAAATATTAGAGAAAAAATTGGTCACACAAATGTGGACCGAAGAAAAGTGTAGAAGAATAACATAATAATGAAGAGTTAAAAAATAAATGAAATGCGGTACTCTGAAGGGTTTTAAGAAAATAAAACCTGTGCATCTACAGAATAAATAACCGATATACAGCTATGGACATTTTAATGGATATTTGAAAAACAGCAGCAACATCAGAGATGTGCAAAATGACAGCAGCATGTTATTTAACTAACTAAGGTGGAAACTGTGCAAAACCAGCATGAATGTAACAACTTATTGAGGTTGTTGGGAACAGTGGTGGTTATAAAGTGTTACAGCTGCTGGGAGGAAGGATCTGTGATAACGCTCCCTGGTGCATTTAAGGTGCAGCAGGCTGGCACTGAAGGAGCTCTCCAGTTCAGCACCAGCTTCGTGCATGGGGTGCATGATCTATTTGCAATACTGCTTGGCCTATTTGGAAGAAACTAAATGTTCATTCTTATCATGAACAAGATTTACAGAGAGAAATGACTTGCAGCTCTAACTGTAATAAAGGGTTATCTTTACTGAACTGTTCACATGTACATCCAAACCTTGTAGCCTTGATATTGATAAAAACTTTAAAATTCCAAACAAAATTTTCCTTTTACTTCACAGTTATTTACTATTACGTTATAACATTTGAGAAAGGGTCTGTCATTTTACTAGGTGCTGTATTCTGTGTAATGTCATCTTAGAAATCTCCTCGCCTGCCTGTAAACAATGACTGGAGCCAAAAAAGATTATGTGAGATGAGTCCAACTCCAGCTAAGGCTTTAGGGAGGGGGTGATGTTACTGTCCAGCAGAAAGTGGATCATGGGAACGTGACACCTGATGTGCTGACTGCAGGACACAAACTGTGGACCACCAGCAGCTGCCATGAGCTGAAACTCAAGGCAGAGAGCAACATTCCCAAGCGGTTGGAAAGTGACCCAGATAGGCTTCCACTCCCGAACCCTGAGGGGCATCAACTGGACCCTCTGTCTCAGAAAAGCTGAAAACTATCTGCTGCGAATATGAGCTGGTTCTGCTTCTCAGATAATAGACTGAGCTGGCTAATTTAATATAAATACAATACTTTATTTTAACATCACTTTTCGGCTGCAGACTACCTCTTTATTATGTTTAATATCTTAGAAGCCTTTTGATGGAATAAATGCATCTCTTGTGGTTGGAATGTAGTGCTTTCCTGTCCATGTATGTGCTCAGAGTTTCTGTAACCTAATCAGGCCTGGTCTGCAGATTTACTGTTATTGGCTGAGGTCCTATCATTCGCTCTGGAATCCCCTCCGACAGTCTGTAGCGCTAACGTGGACATAAGTCCTGGTGTCTGACGACAAAGATGAAATGTCAGTCGGTGCTGCAGATCTATGTCAGAATGTTTGCTATGGGCTCTCCCATGAGAGCTGGCTTCAACTCTTTGGTTCCAAATGGACTAAAATTATCTTATGTCAGGTTTTCCCAAACATTGACTGATACTAATTGGGTGCAATTTACTTCAAATGTAAACTTTGGATACACAAAATGCTCTACAGCTACAGTGCTTTGCAAGAGTTCATAATAGGGATGCACGA